CCAGACTTTTTTGTCTTTCTTATCAACAGTTGTTAAGTCTGGGGTGTTGTGTGGCAGGTGTTTGTAGGTTTCAATTCTAAAGTCCCAGAGCACTTTAGCTTCTTCATTTTCTATTACTTTGTCTATTTTGTAGTCCCACCAGTTCTTGATTTCAGGCAAATGGTATTTCTTTTTTTCTAATTTAATTTAATTTCGTTATTAAATTTATACAGCACCCTTCTCCCCATTAATAATAATTAATAAATTATTATTGCTTTTTAATAAATAACAAAAAAGAAAAAAACACAAAAATAATAATACATGAAAAGAAGGAAGAAAATATTAAAACGTGGTATTACAAAAAGTGACAATAATACAAGAACAAAATAAAAAATAAAAAGTGTAGTATACCATTATACAGTAAATAATTGCAAATCTATATATATTTATCAAATTCAAATATTATTCAAATGCATATACTGTATATTTGTGTAAGAACACAGAGATGATCTTGAGGAAGATCTCTGGAGAGACCACTAGGTTGTCTTTGGTATAAGAGGGAGGGGAGGAGAAATGCTCTCAGAATTTCAAGATTATCTTGTTATAGCCAATATTACTCCAGTTCCAGTATTTCTTGTAGTGTCTGTTTCCCGACCTGCCCTACCTCAAAGGGCTGATGCCTACCTATTAGGTCTATCAATAAATAAATATAAATAAAACAAAATAAAACTCCAAGTACATCAAGGATGGAAGAAACATCCTGCAAAACCAAGCTCTAGCCTCATTTTTACTTTCAAAACAGCCTTGGATTCAGCAAAAACAGTTGGATTTTCTCAGAATGTCATCTGAATCAAAATTGCCCTTTAGGTTATGTTAACAAAGGCCCAGCTATCCCAAGAAAAGGGTTTGGGTCATCCTGGGTTGCAATGAGTCTCTAAGGCAGTGTTTCTCAACCCTGGCTACTTTCAGTTAGGTGGACTTGCAGGCTGGGAAATTCTGGGAGTTGAAGTCCACCCATATTAAAGTTGCCAAGGCTGAGAAAAACCGCTCTAAATAAATTGTGTGGGGTTTATTGCTTAGACTTGAATTTGATGAAATTGAACTGAAAGGACCAGTATAGTTTGTATGCTAGGTTTTGAATGGTGAATTCCTCCATATTTTGAAGACGGTTTTCAACTGTCAACTCAACTTTACTATTAAGGCCGTTATGCTACTTTCATCCTGAATCTACATAGTTCTCAGCCAGTAAAGTCATTCATGGCATGGAGAAGATGGACAGGTCTCTCAGGGGTCATTATTCATGAAATGAAATGCCAGCATACCAGTGGCAGCAGGAGAAGGCCATATTGGGAAGAAGAGTTAATTGTGCCTCCTGAAGTGAAAGTGAAAAAAGCCAGGGAGAAGATTCCCAGCCCCTCCTCTATAGAACAATTAATTTTGATGGTGAAATCTCAAGATGATATTATTCTTGCTTCTGAGTTTCTTGGAACTGTTTTTTTCAGCTTAATTTGATCTGGGGCTAAGAGTCTTTTTCAAGATATATCAAGTCCTCAGGTGATGGATAAATTGCAGTCAATGTGTAAATTTATGGAAGCTTATCATGGTAAATTATTTTATGAGATGGTAATGTTTGCAAAGGCATTGGCTTACTGGATGAAAATATTACTACTCTGGATTGCAATATGATGTTATTATAAGAAGATACAAAAACACGATATTCGGGGGTCTCTTTTTTAACTTCTTTTTCACACCCTCTGAAAAATGTGTGGTGGGTCCATGATCACCTTCCTGTATTTCCTTCCAAACATTTCTCATGTAATATGAAGAAGAAAAAAGGCTTTCAACATTTTTGTCCAAAGAGAGGAGAATTTCAGAGAACTTGTCATGGGTGGAACATGGAGGTCTTCAACTTACTTGGTTAGCAGGGAATAAAGGCCTGGATAGGACTGTCCCGATTCTCTCTGCACAATCACCTTCAAGAGGTCTGCTGCCTCTCTGCCTTCTCGCAGTCCAATTCGGTCCCAAAGCAAGGCAGGAGAGGACACTCGTCCGATTAAGCTTTCTCAGGCTAGGAAAGATGGGAGCTCCGGAGACTGCACTGTGACCAAAAGAATTGTAATGGAAGAGAACCCATCCACCACCTCCAACATTAAACGATGCTCAAAAACACCACCATGGGAAAGCAAAAAGAAATTCTTAGTATGGGGCAGAAAAGCAAACTCTTCTTTTAGCAGGCAAATGAACATCAGAGACTGTAAGGCAGATTTCAGTAGGGTCTTTGTTTTCAGAAATGGAGGGCTCAGAAGCTATTCTGATGTTTGATTCCTGGTGCAGTCCAAAAATCAGAAGCTCGGTGAATAAAAGGGACTTGGCTAGTCAAGCCTCCATAGAACGGTTGAACATTCTTAAAGATGCCTTAAGTGTGAGACTAGGCCGAAGCTGCCATAAGCTAAAGATGAAGCAGGCACGTAAGCAGAGAGAACAAAAGCCAGGAAACTTATCTATGAGATCCCTTCAGGGACATAGATAAGAAGGAAGCAAGTCATTAAGGAAAAAAACAAAGGACTTGAACCAGAAAAAGGAAGTTTGGCCTGAGCACATGGAAACCCTCACCCCAATCCCATC